TAGAAAGGATTCCACTCAAACCTCCGCTGCCACACGCCACCGCATCCCCAGACCCTACAACAAAGTGGCTTCCAGTGAGTACAAGTTCAGACGTGCAGGCAATAGAGAAAGTAGATGTCAGTAGAAGTGTGGTGCGTTCCCGAATAAGTCGGAAGTCGATGCCAAGTTTTAAAGGTTTTTGTTTCCCACTCGGAAAGTCCGAGCCAACCAATGTGACCCGAGGTAGCAATCCAAGATGGCGGCACTGTTAAAACAAGCCGAGCGTCACTCCGAGCTATTCTGGAACGCTGCGTTCATGTGTCTGTGCGATGTCTTTGTTCTGTTTGAGTCTGCAGCCGGCGTCTGCTGACACACAGCGTGACGTGCTGTGATGCATCATGAAGGATCAGCCTGCCGAGTGCAGAGAGCGCGGCTGGAGCGCAGCTCTGTGCCGCGCTGCAGCTGCGCAGACGGCTGTTTGCTTTCAAATAGAATGAAACCGTGTGTCCACACGTGTGGACAACAGACGTGAGCTTGCGCTGTCACACTGTGGCTCACGTGGCTTCTGTGTGTCCTCAGAGAGGAAGTGCGACTTGGACAAACACTGCGGCGTCCTTGACCCAGACAGGAAGAAAGTGTGCACCCGCCTCCTGACATGCAATGTAAGCAACACACACACGCACACGCACACACACACACACACACACGCACGCGCGTGCGTGCTGTCCCATGTTAGTGCTTCAGTGTGGGTAAGTACAGGGTGAGGCGTGCTGTCAGGCTGTGACCCAGTGACAGGGCAGCATGTGGGCTTCGAGCCTGTCCGCCATGTTCACCCTCACGCACACTCATTATGCTGTTATCACTGAACGTTTGTGTAAACCTGTGTGTCATGTTTGTGTGTCACATGTCATTCTGTCATTGAAGTTGTCCTGCACAGCCGTGAGTCCTTTTTGTTTTCCACTGGATCGATCTCCTCAACAATGTGATATCAAATATGTGACAGTTTTCCACAGTGGAGATTCCCATCGTGGTCTTCACCACAGCTCTCCCACTTTCAAACTGGTGTGAGGTCCAGTCTGTCCCAAACTCTGTGTCTTTCCATCTCGTGTTGAGCTCTGGAAGCACCAATAAAGCCTATTCTTCATAATATTTCCAGAAACATCTCCTGTGCTCTTTACACGTCACCCACCATAGGTGTGGCTGAAACGTCGCAGTATAGAGTAACAATGCAGGATTGGAACGGGCAGTGAACAGGACACGTGCAGTGCATCAACACAACACACTCTGACAGTGATTCACACACGGCTCCAACCTGCCACGGAGCATCCTGGCAGCTCGTTTGGACTCACCTGTGGACAGAAACAGGTGGCGGCCATACGTCAGTCACACCTGAAGCCAGTTACACTGGAGGGAGGTTCACAACACGCTGTGGCTGAGCTCCCTGCACTGAAGACAACAGCTGATAAAAGACTGCAGTGCAGGAACAACTCCAAGCTGTTCTGCAGACTCGAACTGTCCATCGACATGTGAAGGAAACGAAAGGCAGGAGAGCCAGGACCGCCCACTGCTGGGACAGGAAAAAGCCGCCTTGGAGTTTACCACAGTGCACGACTTGACCATCAGAGAACAGAGCGAGGCCTACCAAGGAGACGACACAGTAGCTAACATCATAAAAGACACCTCACATCCTGGCCACTCCCTGTTCGAACGTTGCCCTCAGGCAGACGGTACAGGGCAATCAGAGCAAGGACTAATAGACTCAAACACAGCTGTTATCCAACTGCAATAACACATCTGAATACTACAAAAAAATGTCCATCACGCCACTCTTGTGTTAATCTATGCACGGTCTGAAGCATGTGTGTGGGAATGTATGTGAATGTTTTACTGTTACATCTTATTAGTATTTTAAGTATTCTATCTATTTTATTTATTGAATTTTATTGTTTTATTTATATTTTGATATTGCTAGGGATGATGCAATGATCGGGGACCATTCTTCATTTCGTTGTTCTCGTGACAATGACAATAAAGTTTCTGATTCTGATGATTCTGATACAGTCAGACACGGTTGCTGCCTCTGGCCTGACGGTGTGCGAGGCATCATGAGATCTGAAGACTACCAGTGTAGGGTCAGTGTGAGACAGCTGGGTCAGAGGTCATGGGACCAGCAGGACCAGGACCCCGACACGCCTCTGTTTGTGTGAAGACGACACGCTAATCTGAATCCCACTGATCACGCATGGAGACATGTCAGAACTGCGCCCTCCAGATCGCAGTTTGCAAAAGGAGAGCGGTTGACCATCGCAGGCCAGACGTGCAGCTTGTTGATGATAGAGGTGACCGACTGCAGTTATTCTTCTGAGCTGTGTGTGAAACGCTGTCAAGTCTTTAGTGTTGATCCACTGCACATACAGGAAGTAAACATGTGTACACCAAAACAGCTCTGTGGGAGAAATGGTGCTTCTGCTGGGAACACTGGGGGGTTCGTACGGGCGCTTCATTAATGGGGGACAACTTGTGCTGTGTTCAGATGAAAATGTCCTCGACTGTGGGAGCAGTTTAATGTGGACTCTATAGGTGGGGGATGATGTCATCTTTCAAAAGCACTGTTATACTGTCCTGTTATTGAAAGATTCGATTCTGAAACTCCACAGTATCCAGTGAGTCCCAGTCACACAGGCCTGCTCAGATCCACAGCAAACACACAATCTGATCTGTCCTTCCCTCAGATTCACTCCATCCACCAGAGGAGGAAGGTGGTGGGCCGCAGCAAGAACTTTGACCAGCTAGTGGCAGAACTCAAGACCAGGGTTCGAGAGAAAGGGAGCCCAGCCCTGGAGGGAGGCTCCTCGACGGGACAGTCCCTCAGCCCAGAGGCCCCCAGGGAGCAAGCTGGTACTCCACACTGCAGGAGACCTTTGGTCACCCTCCCTGCCTTCAGGTTGTGAAGAATGCTGAAGCTAAGGATGCTTATAGAAGAAGTTAGGACTCTTCTAGAGATAAATAATCATCTTTTTACTGATTATAGCGGCTCAAACATGGTTTGGCTTGCAGGATTCATGTGTAGTCAGCTGCTGGGAAACTGTTTTATCAAGAAGCTAACAGCTGCTGCTGTAACATAGACATGCTGGACTGATGGTCTGCTAAACTAACACCCAGGTGTTCGTTCTGTTACATAATCCCCAAACAGAGCAAGTTTAAAGGCTTCTCAGATGAGTCCACCAGTTCGCGACTCAGTACAGCGTGTGCATCAAGTGTAGGGAAGGAGCTGATGTGGTGCTGCTGAGGGTGTAACTGGATCTGGATGGTCCTGTGTGTGTGTTCTAGTTGGCCTACGGCTGTGGTAGAGAGTGCCCCAGAGGAGGAGAGCCAGCGGTCGGATGAGGGTAATCCCAGAGTCCCCTCGCCTCTGGTCCACGGACGAATCTCGAGCGATGAAAGCGAGGCAGAAGGAAACGACGAGCGAGCTGAGTTTCCATCTTCGGCTGCGCATCCCAGACCAGCGGCGGTGAGACTTACTGGGGCTCAGCAGCCACAGAGCCCAGCCTCTGATCACCATAGGCTGAGACGTTACACAGGGACAGGAGGACGCCCATGCTGTGTCCTCATGTCCCCAAGGACGCAGGGGAGACGCACACACAGGAGACGCACACACAGGAGACGCACGCACAGGAGACACAGCACAGAACACACACCCAGGGACCAGGCGAAGGCAGACAACGACAAACACAGCACGCACAGCAGACAGGACGAGACCCACAGGACGCACGACACACGGACGACGACACACACGACAGGACGCACACAGCACGAGCAGCACACACGACACAGCACGACGACCGGAGACACACACAGCAGACACACAGAGACACACGAGCAGCGGACAGAGACACACAGACGACGCACACACAGGAGACGCACAGCACAGCAGACACACACACAGAGGCAGCACAGGAGACACACACACACGGGAGACACACGGAGACACACACACAGGAGACACACAGCACACAGGAGACACACACACAGGAGACACACAGGAGACGCACACGGAGACACACAGGAGACGCACACACGGGAGACGACACAGCAGACACACACACGGGAGACACACGCAGCAGACGCACACAGCAGACACACACACGGGAGACGACACAGCAGACACACACAGGAGACACACAGCAGACGACACACACAGCAGACGAGACGCACAGCAGACACACAGACAGACACACACACACAGGCAGACACACACACAGACACGAGACACACAGGAGAGACACACACACAGACAGACACACACACACAGGGAGACACACACAGCAGAGACACACACACGGGAACACACACAGGAGACACACACACAGGGACACACACACAGAGGAACACACACAGCAGACACACACAGGAGACACACACAGGAGACACACAGGAGACGACACAGCAGACACACACACAGGAGACCACAGCAGACACACACACGGAGACCACAGACAGCAGACACACAGACAGCAGACACACACACACAGACGAAACACGCACAGCACAGGCAGACACACACGCAGACACCACACAGCGAGACACACAGCACAGGCAGACACACACGCAGACACACACACAGCAGACACACACAGACACGCACAGACACAGACACACACCAGACACAGCACACACACACACGAGACACACAGCAGAACACACACACAGCAGACACACACACAGGAGACACACACACACACAGCAGACACACACAGGAGACGAACACAGACACAGCAGACACACACAGGAGACACACAGCAGACACACACACACAGCAGACACACAGCAGGAGCACACACAGGAGACACACACAGCAGACACACACAGGAGACACACAGGAGACGACACACAGACAGGACACACACACAGGAGACGCACAGACAGGAGACGCACACACGGGAGACGCACAGCAGACACACACACGGGAGACGCACAGCAGACACACACACGGGAGACGCACAGCAGACACACACACGGGAGACGCACAGCAGACACACACACGGGAGACACAGGCTGTGATAATGAGACCTGTGTGTGGTCTCCTGTGTGCGTCTCCTGTGTGTGCGTCTGCTGTGTGTGCGTCTGCTGTGCGTCTCCTGTGTGTGCATCTGCTGTGTGTGCGTCTCCTGTGTGTGTGTCTCCTGTGCGTCTCCTGTGTGCGTGTCTCCTGTGTGTGTGTCTCCTGTGCGTGTGTCTCCTGTGCGTGTGTCTCCTGTGCGTGCGTCTCCTGTGTGTGCGTCTCCTGTGTGTGCGTCTCCCCTGCGTCCTTGGGGACATGAGGACACAGCATGGGCGTCCTCCTGTCCCTGTGTAACGTCTCAGCCTATGGTGATCAGAGGCTGGGCTCTGTGGCTGCTGAGCCCCAGTAAGTCTCACCGCCGCTGGTCTGGGATGCGCAGCCGAAGATGGAAACTCAGCTCGCTCGTCGTTTCCTTCTGCCTCGCTTTCATCGCTCGAGATTCGTCCGTGGACCAGAGGCGAGGGGACTCTGGGATTACCCTCATCCGACCGCTGGCTCTCCTCCTCTGGGGCACTCTCTACCACAGCCGTAGGCCAACTAGAACACACACACAGGACCATCCAGATCCAGTTACACCCTCAGCAGCACCACATCAGCTCCTTCCCTACACTTGATGCACACGCTGTACTGAGTCGCGAACTGGTGGACTCATCTGAGAAGCCTTTAAACTTGCTCTGTTTGGGGATTATGTAACAGAACGAACACCTGGGTGTTAGTTTAGCAGACCATCAGTCCAGCATGTCTATGTTACAGCAGCAGCTGTTAGCTTCTTGATAAAACAGTTTCCCAGCAGCTGACTACACATGAATCCTGCAAGCCAAACCATGTTTGAGCCGCTATAATCAGTAAAAAGATGATTATTTATCTCTAGAAGAGTCCTAACTTCTTCTATAAGCATCCTTAGCTTCAGCATTCTTCACAACCTGAAGGCAGGGAGGGTGACCAAAGGTCTCCTGCAGTGTGGAGTACCAGCTTGCTCCCTGGGGGCCTCTGGGCTGAGGGACTGTCCCGTCGAGGAGCCTCCCTCCAGGGCTGGGCTCCCTTTCTCTCGAACCCTGGTCTTGAGTTCTGCCACTAGCTGGTCAAAGTTCTTGCTGCGGCCCACCACCTTCCTCCTCTGGTGGATGGAGTGAATCTGAGGGAAGGACAGATCAGATTGTGTGTTTGCTGTGGATCTGAGCAGGCCTGTGTGACTGGGACTCACTGGATACTGTGGAGTTTCAGAATCGAATCTTTCAATAACAGGACAGTATAACAGTGCTTTTGAAAGATGACATCATCCCCCACCTATAGAGTCCACATTAAACTGCTCCCACAGTCGAGGACATTTTCATCTGAACACAGCACAAGTTGTCCCCCATTAATGAAGCGCCCGTACGAACCCCCCAGTGTTCCCAGCAGAAGCACCATTTCTCCCACAGAGCTGTTTTGGTGTACACATGTTTACTTCCTGTATGTGCAGTGGATCAACACTAAAGACTTGACAGCGTTTCACACACAGCTCAGAAGAATAACTGCAGTCGGTCACCTCTATCATCAACAAGCTGCACGTCTGGCCTGCGATGGTCAACCGCTCTCCTTTTGCAAACTGCGATCTGGAGGGCGCAGTTCTGACATGTCTCCATGCGTGATCAGTGGGATTCAGATTAGCGTGTCGTCTTCACACAAACAGAGGCGTGTCGGGGTCCTGGTCCTGCTGGTCCCATGACCTCTGACCCAGCTGTCTCACACTGACCCTACACTGGTAGTCTTCAGATCTCATGATGCCTCGCACACCGTCAGGCCAGAGGCAGCAACCGTGTCTGACTGTATCAGAATCATCAGAATCAGAAACTTTATTGTCATTGTCACGAGAACAACGAAATTAAGAATGGTCCCCGATCATTGCATCATCCCTAGCAATATCAAAATATAAATAAAACAATAAAATTCAATAAATAAAATAGATAGAATACTTAAAATACTAATAAGATGTAACAGTAAAACATTCACATACGTTCCCACACACATGCTTCAGACCGTGCATAGATTAACACAGGAGTGGCGTGATGGACATTTTTTTGTAGTATTCAGATGTGTTATTGCAGTTGGATAACAGCTGTGTTTGAGTCTATTAGTCCTTGCTCTGATTGCCCTGTACCGTCTGCCTGAGGGCAACCGTTCGAACAGGGAGTGGCCAGGATGTGAGGTGTCTTTTATGATGTTAGCTACTGTGTCGTCTCCTTGGTAGGCCTCGCTCTGTTCTCTGATGGTCAAGTCGTGCACTGTGGTAAACTCCAAGGCGGCTTTTTCCTGTCCCAGCAGTGGGCGGTCCTGGCTCTCCTGCCTTTCGTTTCCTTCACATGTCGATGGACAGTTCGAGTCTGCAGAACAGCTTGGAGTTGTTCCTGCACTGCAGTCTTTTATCAGCTGTTGTCTTCAGTGCAGGGAGCTCAGCCACAGCGTGTTGTGAACCTCCCTCCAGTGTAACTGGCTTCAGGTGTGACTGACGTATGGCCGCCACCTGTTTCTGTCCACAGGTGAGTCCAAACGAGCTGCCAGGATGCTCCGTGGCAGGTTGGAGCCGTGTGTGAATCACTGTCAGAGTGTGTTGTGTTGATGCACTGCACGTGTCCTGTTCACTGCCCGTTCCAATCCTGCATTGTTACTCTATACTGCGACGTTTCAGCCACACCTATGGTGGGTGACGTGTAAAGAGCACAGGAGATGTTTCTGGAAATATTATGAAGAATAGGCTTTATTGGTGCTTCCAGAGCTCAACACGAGATGGAAAGACACAGAGTTTGGGACAGACTGGACCTCACACCAGTTTGAAAGTGGGAGAGCTGTGGTGAAGACCACGATGGGAATCTCCACTGTGGAAAACTGTCACATATTTGATATCACATTGTTGAGGAGATCGATCCAGTGGAAAACAAAAAGGACTCACGGCTGTGCAGGACAACTTCAATGACAGAATGACATGTGACACACAAACATGACACACAGGTTTACACAAACGTTCAGTGATAACAGCATAATGAGTGTGCGTGAGGGTGAACATGGCGGACAGGCTCGAAGCCCACATGCTGCCCTGTCACTGGGTCACAGCCTGACAGCACGCCTCACCCTGTACTTACCCACACTGAAGCACTAACATGGGACAGCACGCACGCGCGTGCGTGTGTGTGTGTGTGTGTGTGCGTGTGCGTGTGCGTGTGTGTGTTGCTTACATTGCATGTCAGGAGGCGGGTGCACACTTTCTTCCTGTCTGGGTCAAGGACGCCGCAGTGTTTGTCCAAGTCGCACTTCCTCTCTGAGGACACACAGAAGCCACGTGAGCCACAGTGTGACAGCGCAAGCTCACGTCTGTTGTCCACACGTGTGGACACACGGTTTCATTCTATTTGAAAGCAAACAGCCGTCTGCGCAGCTGCAGCGCGGCACAGAGCTGCGCTCCAGCCGCGCTCTCTGCACTCGGCAGGCTGATCCTTCATGATGCATCACAGCACGTCACGCTGTGTGTCAGCAGACGCCGGCTGCAGACTCAAACAGAACAAAGACATCGCACAGACACATGAACGCAGCGTTCCAGAATAGCTCGGAGTGACGCTCGGCTTGTTTTAACAGTGCCGCCATCTTGGATTGCTACCTCGGGTCACATTGGTTGGCTCGGACTTTCCGAGTGGGAAACAAAAACCTTTAAAACTTGGCATCGACTTCCGACTTATTCGGGAACGCACCACACTTCTACTGACATCTACTTTCTCTATTGCCTGCACGTCTGAACTTGTACTCACTGGAAGCCACTTTGTTGTAGGGTCTGGGGATGCGGTGGCGTGTGGCAGCGGAGGTTTGAGTGGAATCCTTTCTCACTGTGGGGTGCCTGTCACTGGGTGAAGATCTACCAGGCGGAGTAGCTCCGTGTGGCCAAGGGGGATCTCTGAGAGACGGAGGTGGGGAGCTCATGGGAGGCTCGAGAGGTGGTGGCTGCTTGAATACCGAAGAGTCAAAGTGACTGCTGTGGGACTTCTCCAGTGGGGAGTGTCTTGGTGACGAGAGAAGAAGTTCACAGTTTGTCATCGTAGCCAATGAAAAACAACCATGTGTGAATAAGAGGGCTCTAATGTTTCAGTCCTGCGCTCTACATTAGCTGTGCTCGCTCAGATCACGTGTTCGTCTCTCTAACACAGCTCTGTGCTGATTGGTCGCAAACACAAGGTTTGGATAGAAAGGTGTGTGAGGCTTTTGTACTGAGCTGTAAGCTCGACACTCAATGATTAATAACTTTAACATGATAATCCACCACGCTCCACCAAGTATGACAGGAAGTCAGGAACTGAAGAAGATGCCCACTTTCATGCCGGCTTCTCTCCAAACACCAATCCTTTCCTACAAGCTGGAACGATGCACGAGCAGGTTACAGTGTAGCACACATCAGGACACGCCAAAGGGCTTCAACTCACCAAAACTCGAAAATAAAAAAAGTCAAATGTGTATTTGAGAGAAAACTCGAGCGGCGATGAGCTGAGACAGATTCTACCACAGACAAGTCCCACCTCATTTCTGGGTGCAACCCTGTCTGTGGTCCTCAGACTCCAGCAAGCACCGAGTTCAAAAACAGCCAACAGCCTTTCATCCCCAAGAAAAGGTTTAGCTTGGCTTTTATGACAGGTGTTATTCTACAGTCAGCATCCATGGAGGATCTATGGTGCTAGCTTCCATCTAAACATGATGCACCAGAACATACGGTTCTGCTGTTACCTGATCAAAGATTATGACTATGGCTCACTGGAGCTTCAGCTAGCTACAGAGCTAGGGCTAATAATGCAAACACATTAGCACAGTGACAAAGAGCATCAGGTTTAAAGGTTAGTCATTAATGTGCTGCTGTGTGGTTTGGATGACTCGCTACAAAGAGAGGCCAACACTCGCTGTTTGTCATTTCAGTTAGATATAAGAACACATTACAACATTTGTACAGAGGATTTAGACGAACAAAATCATTGCACGTCCAATCCAAGCTAGCCACTACACTCTGAACAGCTGACATCATCTATTATTGCTTTAATCAAGCTCGGACATTTTGACTGGACTGTGTTCTTACCGCACTCCGTCCTTGGAAGTCTTTGAGTATCTGTACTGTGGTGGTGTGACGGGTGAAGGTGGAGCCGCCCGGAGCTGCCCGACTCCCTGGTTTCGACCCTCCCACGAAGCAGCGTTGGTCCCATGAGGAGGAGAGGGGCCGTGATGGCTTCTCTGTTGGGGTTGCGGTGCCGGGGTGGGAGAGCGTAAGCGGGCGTACAGCTTGGCCACAGGCCCGTGTCTCCGCTCGCAGTGCTTTTCAAAGGCCTGTGGCTTCACGACCTGCCCGCAATGGCTGCAAACCACCAGGTAGAAGTCGTCATGGCCAGGGTAGAGGCCAAAGATGGACATGTCTTGAAGAAGAGTGGAGAACACAGAAAGACGTACTCTCACTTAGAGGAACCTACAGTTTCAAACATCCTAAATCTGCACGTGCTTCTTGCGACTGACATGCTCGTAGCCTGCTGTGCTGCTGGATCTGCTTCTACTGTGTAGCCTGTTCCATGGAGAAGCTGTAAGTCGGGGCTTACTTACCCGACTAAGTATTTGCAGACTCAGTTGAATGTGATGACATTTTCAGGCTTTGTTTCACTCACTACCAAGGTATGGGTGTGCGATAAATCGAATATACTCAACGTATCGCGGGTTTTTCCACGTGCAATGGTTAAAGTGGCTTTATGGGAACCATTGAGTACAGGTTGCCATGGAAATATTAAGCTGTCTGCATGTAACCCAGGTGCATGTCGTTCGGATTTCACGAGGAGGATGTCGAACAAAATGCAGTCTTTGCAAAACATGCCGTGAAACTATCGCTGCAAAATGTAGCAGCAGCACAAATGTATCCACCAGCTGAAAAGGTGTTTGAACGTCTGCACGTGAACGTCTGCACGTGAACGTCTCCATGTGAACGTCTGCCCGCACACCGAACAGTAAACCAGCTGTGACTCTCATTTCTGTCATTTAAGGTCGGCAGTTTTCACGCGTCATAGGCACAAAGAGCACCTTGTGGTGCTGTTAGCGTCTTTCACTTGGTGCAAGATCCTAAATACTTCTAAACTACTAAAGCTGAGTGCTCCCTCTCGCTGACGCGTGCTCTGAATGTGCACAGCATCATGGTGCACACATGCTGCACACTGTGGGGAGCAGGTATCCTCTCACATCATCTCCAAAAACAGGCCGAGCGTGTTTATTGAAATGATGTGATGAGCTCTGTATCTCTGTGCTCACCAACACATCTCCTCTTTCCCAGCTTGTGTTTGTCAGTGAAAGAGTCCCGTGTGTCTACTGAAGGCATCATGAGTGGAGCCGTGTCTTAGAGAAAACAGCATGAGCGCATTAGCAGAATTATAAGTCGGTAAAGACATTTTAGCGGCTGATAGCCATCCACTTCTTCCCCTGCTCACAAATAAACTCCCCGGTTTCTGGGTCAAACAGTATGTATGTATGTGCAAGTCAACATCCCGCCCCAGCAGCAGGCGTGCAGGTATACAGGATGATCACACGACAGTGCTCAGCCAGGCTCACGTAAATCCACCCGACTGGGGACCAGAATGCATCCGCTGCCCTGACCAGTGACGGGCCAGTCAGCCTCCTGGTGGTCTTAATAAGAAGCTGGCTGTTTTCATGCATCTGCAGCACAAACACATATTCATGCACAGCCACACACCAACACGTCGGTATGTGGAAGCCAATAACTGTGAGTAAAAGTTTGCCAAACAGAAGTTTGGACGTGCACACTTTATAGAAGCTAACGCTATCCAGCCCTCGATCGAAGCAGTTAGACAATGATGGAGTCAGATCAGCCTGTCGTCGGTCAACACGTCCAGTCACCCAACCTTAGTGTGCACTTTGTTACAAACACAAACCTTAATGAGAAATTCACTGGCATAAAAATCGGATTGTAAATGATGGCATCAACTGGTGAGGCTCCCCTGATGTGCACCATGAGTAGGAGCTTGGTGCTAGCTGGAACCACAGGCCGGAAACGCTGCAAAGCTTCACTTAGAACGACGAAGCTGGCGTGCATGTGGCAAACACTCACACTCCTCTACGTGCCAAATACGCTCCAACACACCGTCGTCACAGACGCGTGTTACAATGCACAGCATTACAAAGCATGTGGCTTGTGTAGTGTTATAAGCTGTTAATATAACTACAAAAGAAAAATAGAAATTTAAGCCTATTTCCAACAAAGGCTGTGTTCACGATAAGCGACCTGAAACTCAGCATGAGCTCTGTGAAGACTCTTCATTGTTAAACTTTGACGAAACATTCCGAGTCTGGCCAAAGTTTTTTTAACCAAACCTGCACAGCAGAGGGCAGGACGGGCAGCACGGTGGCACGGTGGTTAGCACTGTTGCCGCACAGCAAGAAGGTCCTGAGTTCAATTCCTCCATCAGGCCGGGGTCTTTCTGTGTGGAGTTTGCATGTTCTCCCCGTGTTTGTGTGGGTTCTCTCCGGGTACTCCGGCTTCCTCCCACCGTCCAAAGACATGCAGCTTGTGGGGATAGGTTGATTGGATAATCCAAATTGTCACTAGGTGTGAATGCAAGTGTGAATGGTTGTCTGTCCCTATGTGTTGGCCCTGCGACAGACTGGCGACCTGTCCAGGGTGTACCCCGCCTTTCGCCCTATGACAGCTGGGATAGGCTCCAGCGCCCCCCGCGACCCTGAAAAGGATAAGCGGAAGCGAATGGATGGATGGATGGATGCACAGCAGATTCAAACCAAGAACAGTGGGGGCTTCAGATCAGCCTTGTCTGGCTCTTATGGCCGTGTGATCCTCACACGCACTGTCAGGTACCCCCGAGTTGTGGTGTCATGTTCTCATAAACAGCATCCAGCATGTGTATGTGCAAAGGTGTGTTTGTTAGAAAAGCTGAGATCCATAAGTATGAGGCATGTTTCCAACCTGCACACTTACCCTCTTTACTGAGTGACATTGCCTCTGCAGCCTTTTTGCCATTCTTATTGCAGTCATCCACATCAGGCCCTGAAACACATGTTCAAGACAGCCACTGTCAGCTGTGATGTTGGTATCATCATTAGTAATGCTCATCTTACATCACACATAGCCCGCATTAATAAGCTGTGTTATGTAATTGACTCAGATCAACCGTTTCTTCAGGAAGTACTCGTAGTCCAAGTATACGATCAGCAGGCAGTAGCTAATGGCACTGGGTGGTGGGGAGACTATCTGACAGTTAATGGGCAGAGCAGCACTGGAGAAACGCCAAACAGTGAGTCTAAGCTAGCAAGAACACTGTGGGCAGAAGCCACATATATGAGGAATCGTGTGGCGAGTCCACGAGTATCACTGTTTAGGAAGCGAAGGAAGCGAAGTGGGAACGACACACAAAATGTTTCCTTCTATCACAGGATGGGCCAGCGGTGCAGAAGCGTCAGACTCCTCCTCCGTCACCGGCGTCTGCTCTGAATCCGGCTGCTGCTAGCGTTAGCATGCTGATGCTAACTACCTCGTCGCCACCGGCTAGTCGGGCTCGCATGGTAGCTTGTATCCTCGCTTTCCACGGCCAGCCGTCCACACTAGCCTCCTTCCGCTCTGATGTCAGCCAGCCCTGCCGGTTTTCTCCACACGAATGGTCTCCCCTAAACGCTGCAGACTGTTTTATGACCACACAGGTGGAAATCATGCTACAATGACTGTGTCCTTACAATTATAATTTTTGTAACCTAGTGAAGACCAACATGTTACCCACCCAGCACTAGGACCCGGTAGGGTCTTTGTTTGGGTAACATGTTTAGCTCCGTCCTGCGTTTCCGCGAAAATAAACACTGCTGCTTCCGTTAAATGGCTCCGTACCGATCAGTGTTTGTGTCAGGGTGTTTCCTTACCATCCGCCGGCGTCATGCCCGCCCAATCGGCCCAGGCAGTCCAGCTTTGACCCACGAAATCATCGAGGCTAGGAACCCGCCGATCCAGAGCAGCCATTACTTTTACTGCGCGTTCACGAACCGCCATCATCACTGCGCGGCAAGCAGCTTACGTCATCTCGCGTTCTCGACAGGAAAGGAACTTCCTGCGTGCGCGTGCTGGGGACACCCACACAAACAGAAGGCTTGGCTCTAAGAGCTGTCCCACTTTTGTACCGTGGAAATGACAGAATGTTATCAACACAGCACACGCGTGGACGTAGTATGGTTGAATGCGCAGTGAAAACAGAATGACATGTAAGAAACATCACAGCTTCCACAGATCCGCTGCCGCCTGTCTTTACACCTTGTCGCGTGTGGTGAGGCACATGATCAATAGTTGGTCCACGACCCTGTTAAGGGACAGAGGCCACCCACTTTGTCCCCTCTGCATAGACTGGTACTCCTCTATCATGTACCAGACAGCCTGGTTAGAGTGCCACAGCTGCACACCTGCACAGGTACATTATCCTCTGAGCTTCCTCCATTCATCCTTCTTCCACCTGCTCCTGTCTGACACTTACCTCCACCAGACTATTTTATCTTCTCCTCCATTTCACTTCCTGTCCACACCATGATGGAACAGTTGGAACTTTGCTTGCTCTCCTGCATATATCTGCCTTCTTTCCTTCTGTCTCCATCATATCAGCCAGCTCTCTCCCTGTAACAGTCCCTCACTGCCACACGCCTACCTTTCCTTCTCTCTTGTTGCCTCTTCTTTTGTCTTCATGTAAGAGTAGCACATTTGTACCGGCACCCTGCTGCCCACCAGCACCTGAGGCGATCATTGTTAACCAATCTAAAGCCCAGCACAAACAGCAGGACCTAGTTCGGCGTTCTGTATCGTACACTCACACGGGATAATGTTTGCCAGGAGGTGGCACAGATCAGTGAAAGGATGTGGTCTTGGTGAGGAGAAGAAGAGAATGAGTCCAGGCAGCGTTTCCAGTAATCCACGTGGATATTGCACCAGTGAAAAGGGAGCATTGGAGGGTGAGCAGGCAGGCGAGTGCGGAGTTAAGCAGCGTCCTGTGGAGGCGGCTGAGTATGACAGGCTGAAAGCACTCCTATAACCAGCAAAGGCACACACAGGAACCTGGAAGGGAATTTTACCAAAGGAGCAGCCTGGTTAGTTAGTTAGCTTTTAACACGGTGATCTTTCCTATTGGAGGTCAAACTGTGTAGTCAGGTGAGCGCAGTAGTCCACTCCAGCGTTGTCCATCGGAGACAGCAAGCCAAGGTAAAGCCACACCTTGCAGCTGATGTCTGTGAACGTGTTATTCATGTGTCCATTACTTGCAGACTGGACTGCTGCAGTTCTCTGTACTTTGGTTTGGACCAGGCCTCTCTTCATGATCTCCAGTTGGTCCAAATGCAGTTGCTCGCCTGCTGACGGGCACTAAGGAGCCTGTAACCCCAGCGCTGGCCTCCCTGTTCCTGTCTAATTTAAAATCCTACTTTTTGGTTCTAAATCAGTTAACAGCGAGCTTCTACCTGTCTGAGTTGTGTATTTATGCTCCAGAAACAACTATAAGCTAACGTTAACGAATCCACAGACTAAAGTGTGGTGGTGACCAATGTTCCCTGTAATGTTTCATGTGTCTGAATACACAAACTCCCTGAGCGGCCCTTGGACCACTGTGAGCGACAGCATCCAAGTTACATGTTTATTAAAATAACAAATTACAGCATTTACATTTATGTTAGACTACTTTTAATTAACTGCTTTATCCCACTTACAATGAAAACAAAAATCTTGTTCATGACCTGTGCAGCATGTTAACACTGTTGGAAGGAAAAATAACTTGAACTGCAATTTTGAAAAGACAACTTTCTTTTTTTTTGTTATAAAGCTCTGATTGTATTATGAGTCTGACTCTGTGGGAGAGGGTCTGTAACTCTGTCTGCAAATACAGGATATAAAGACCAATGTTGGGCAATTAATTATATAGTTACTTCTTCAAAAAGTAACTGAGTTATGCAAACAACAAAGTTCCGTCTGTCCTGCTCACATCTCCAATGGTCGTACCAGGGGCGATTTTAGCCCATTTCTGGGGGTGCTTCAGTGATTCCCCAAAATGAATCAAAGCACCCCCAAA